TTGACAACATCCACGTGGCCATGGGAGCAGGCCAAGAACAAGAGGTTCCGATTTTGATCGCTGATGAACTCAGAACTGCTCCATGTTTTCGTCTCCAGCAGAAGCATCAAGATTTGGGCTTCTCCTTTTCCCTACAAGCTTCGTGGAATGGAGTCTCCTTATTCAGATTCTCCACCGCCGCAGCTTCCGGCCACAGCCTCAGAATCTTCTCCACCAAGTTGACGTGGCCGTACCTCGCCGCCACGTGCAGCACCGTGTCCCCCGTCTCTTCTGATATCTCCTTCACAATTTTAACATTCTCGCCAACCAGTATTAATATTCATGAGGTTCCATCTCAAAACCAATTGGCAATGAGAGGAGTAGTCCATGTCTATTATAACCCATTGTTAAGTCCCTTCTTGGTTCCATGTCAATGCCTGAATTAAAATCCTTGAATCCATTATTTCTTTTCTTTTTTTTTTTCTGATTCGGGCGAATTCTTCACAACTTTGAACTTAAAAACTAATTTATTCTGGGGGACTGGCTGGGGCAGAGATGAATCATACTTGCTGGGCTTTTATTATTATTATTATGCGCCTTAGAAGTCAAACTACGAGGGCTGATTAAATAACAATAATTAATGCTGGTTCAAGTTTTCCAATTTTATATATATTTTTAATTTCAGTTTCAACGATATCAGAAGAACAAGCACCAGGAGGAGGAAGGGGTCTCCTACATTGCTTACAATAATAATACTTTCTTTCTCCATGTTTGTGTTCCTCTTTCTCACCGGTCTAATAATTAGTTAGGCGCCATATCATAATCATCTTAACAACTTTAGTGATCGGAAGAACTTAATTGATACCATTCCAATTCATCAGAAATGAAAAAAAAATTAGGAGTGAAATTGGAAAAATAAATAATAATAATAATAAAGAAAAACCGAACCTCTATTAATCCAGAATTCTGAGCTCGGCCACGTGTCAACTTGGGTGAGCAGACAAGAAGTGAGCTTTCCGAGGAAGGGCCTGAACAAAGAGAACGACAAATAATTTGATTCTCAAGCAAGTAATGGCAGGAGTACAGTTAGTTGCCCTTTGAGACAATCGTATACTTTGAGTTGAAGAAGTGGTGATAATTGTATAGGCAAGTAGGAGGACGTTCAAACAGAAGGTTGTGATGGTTACGGACTGTTTGATCTAATTAGATCGGTATCGGTATTAGTTCTCAAGTTGGTTGAGTAGAACTTAGAAAATTCTCCAACTTGGTTGGTCTAAGCTCAATTCTGGGGCATGTCGGCGAGTTCTCTCCGGGTTAAGATGATTGGTCCACGAGTCCTTTTGATTATCTTTACCCTCCAACAACTTCAATGATAGGGGAAGATTAATATTTAATCAATTTAATTTAAGAAAAAAAGGCCCTGAAATTTCTGTTAGCTTTCTTTGCTAGGTCTTTCTTTAATTAATTGGGAAAACAGATTACAGTATCAATTTCACAATGGAAAAAAATAAAACCCTAAATGAAATGATTGGTTAGGATTAAAACAAAATTTAACGCTTCCGATTACTATTATTATTATTAACAAGGAAAGTAGGATATTATTATATAGTTATAATTAAAAAAAATGTATATATACATATAAGGTATATTTTGGGTCGGGTCGACTCAAATTCGCGATTCAACCTGATCCCCTCGATTTGAGAAAATCTCAATCCAACTCGAATCGAGATTTAGTCTAACCCAATCCAATCCTTAAATTGAGTTAGGTTCATCAAATACGTCGGATTGTTAGGTTTTTTTAACAGCTTCGTGGATAAGAAATGTCAACACATTACCTTCCAAAACTAATTATTTAATTAATTTCTTTCATTTAATTATCATCCCTCACGTGTCGTGTGATATGGGGTAAGCTATTTTACAACCTCAATCTTATTCATTATAAAACTCTCATCTTTTATTTTCCTTTTTGGAAAATTTTTGGTCTTTTTTTCCCTTAATTAGCTTCATGTGAATGGGACTTGACAAGGACAATCTAAAGTGTTAGTTAATTTTGAGGGTATTAATTTGCTTCAGGAAGGACCCAATTTTTGGGTTTTAATTCTCCATTATTCCCGAATGTTGCTTTCGTAAAAGGTTTGATAATCAAAATAAAAGTCAATTTACGTTAATAGTCATCTTCCGACTAGCGTGTCATTTCCAAAGTGATATTTTCATGTAGTTTTATTTTCTATTTTGTAAACTACATTTAGCCCCGGTTTATTCTGAGAGATTAATGATCAATATGCTTACCAAATGAGAATTAAATGGTGGGTACGTATTCCCTAAAATTTTAGAGGTAGTCACATTCCTCCCCTACACTCACGCTTCCTTCTCTCCTATTGAATGTAATGCATGTCTAGGGATCATAACCAGAAATTTTAGAGGCCAAGTGATGGTTTCTGCTACGAAATACCTAGAGCATGTTCAGTCGATCGATGATACAGAGGCCTTAACAACTTCGGATGGCCTGCGGTTGGCGTTGGAGATCGGTCTTCGCCCAGTGCAGCTGGAAACGAACTCTGCCCGAATCTTCAATATTTTCGTTCATGATGTGGAGGATTTGTCAGAAATCAGAAATATTGTTCAAACTGTCAAAATGGAGGTGGATACAGTCATTCAAGCATCCTACAGCTTCACGAAAAGAGACAGCAACGGAGTAGTGCACATGCTGGCTCAGAGAGCCCTTCGGTTTCAAGATCATGGCATCTGGATTAAGGATTGGCCAAGGGAGTTGAATAGTCAACTTGAGTTAGAGTGTCTGGATTCCCTTCTGTAATTTTTGTACGCTTGTTCTATTTCAAAAAAAAAAGGTCATGTTTACTTCAGAGTAATGGAAATGAAGGAATGAGATCAGTTTTTTCATTCCTTTTATAGTGTTTACCAACATGTAGGTTTTTTATTATCATTCTCTGAAAAACGGTAATCTGATTTTTCTGGTGCACCTCCCATTTCAATTCTTTACTCCGTTTGCCCACACATTTGTGTTGGGATTATGAAGCCTAAACAGGAAACTCATATTCTATGAAGAAAATGATTTTTCAACATTATTACCAATTCCTACTCGGAGTAGAATATTGTTGTCTTATAAAGATTACAATATTGTTTCCTATAATAATTAGAATGTTTGGCCTTTTATAAATAGAGTCTTGGTTTCATTTGTACATAATTCAAATAAAAGAGACTTGAGTGGTTGTGGGCAGTGTTGAAAATGATTCTGTATCCAATGGGTTTAGTGATGTATCCAATGGGTTTAGTGAGTGTTTTTCAAAACTAGAGAGCTTTTGTTGGGACGGGGATATTTTTGCTAATCCTTAAACAATTATTAGTGAATTACCCACATGAGTGGAAGATTAGACGTAGCCGTTAGTGGTGAACCAGTATAATTTGATGTGTCGTTATTCTTGTGCTTTTACAGTTTTCTTCTATTTTCATATATTTTGGTTGTGTTTGGATATTTGTAGAATAGAAAATTATTCAGGTCTTCAATTTCCCAACAATTTATTGTAAGTACTTTTCTACTTTTACCATTTCTCTCTCATGTATTAAAGATACCTATAACTTTTTAATTAATTGTTTTATACTTTTTTTTCATTTATATAACTAATAATTTTGAATAAAAAATCATACCATTTTTATTAGTTGGTATGATTTTATTATAAAATATTATAAATTTATTTAATTTTTAAAATTTTAAAATTTTAGTTTGTTATATTAATTAATATCAATAAATTTTTTAAAATAGAATTCATTATTATTAAGTAATAAAATTTAATAATATTTTATATTAAATAATTTTGTTTCTAATAATAAATTATTTTAGTTGATGTAATTTTATTTTAGTTATTCATTATTTATTAATATTAAATAAATTGTTATAATAAAATATTTACTATCACTAAATTAGTAATAAAATAAATTATTATTGTAATAAAAAAATATTAGAAAAAAATATATTTATAATTAGCTATAAAAGAAGAAAATGATATACTAGTAATTATTATATATCTGATTCCAATTCCGATTCCAGAAAATTTGAGTAAACAACATCAAAGAATTTCTGATTCCAATTCAAACAAATTTCTAGTAAACAACAGTATAACGTTCTCAATTCAATTGATTTGATTCCGATTAATTTTTATTTGGATTCATGCCTATTTCGATTCTAAACAGGGCCTTATTGTAATTATTTTTTCTACTTTTATCCTTTGTCTCTCATGCATTAACGAGACACATAATTTTTTATTTAATTATTTTATAATTTTTTATTTCTTTCTCATTATACTACTGATAATTTTTCTTTTAATAAAAGTTTATACCACTTTTATGAATTGATGTGATTTTATTATAAAATATTATAAATTTATATTTAATTTTTTAATTTTATTTTGTTATTATTAATTAACATAAGTAGATTTTTTAAAATAAATTCATTATTATTATTTTATTATAATATTTATTATAAATGATGATTGGTCTAATAAAAACGTATTTTAGTGGATGTAATTTTATTTTAATTATTCATTATTTATTAATATTAATTAATTTGTTATGGTAAAAAATATTTACTATCAATAATATAGCAATAAGATAAATTAAAATTTAATTATTATTACAGTTAAAAAAATTTTGTATTTGTAATAGTTAAAAATAATAAAGGAACATATTAATAATTTTCATATATCTCATTTGTAATCGATTTTGATTCCAAATAATTTAGTAAATATGATAAAAAAAGAATAAAATTTTTTTATAAACACCGTCAAATAACATTCACGTTCGGATTGATTTCATTTGATTTGATTATGATTGATTTTTATTCCATTAGTTACCAAGTAAACAGGGTCCTAGAGTATACTTTTACTCCAGCTATTTTAGATTAGCTTCAACACGCGTAAGACTCACAGTAAGCAATGTAGGGAGATCCTCCTCCTCCATGTGCTTGTTCTTCTCATATGGTTGAAATTGAAAAAGAAAAAAAAAAGGGAGAAAAACTTGAACCAGTTGCATTTTTGTTATTTATTCAGCGGTCTTAGTTTGACTTGTAAGGCGCGTAATAATAAAAGCCGAGAAAGTATGATTCATCTCTCCCACTCCCCCAATATAATTTAGTTTTGAAGAACTCGCCAGAAATCGGAGAAAAAAGAGAATGGATCCAAGGCTTTTCCAGGCAGTGACAAGGAATCAGAAAAGGCGTTTCAATAAGCTGGTGCGCCAGAATTTTGAAATTGTGAAGCAGATATCAGAAGAGACGGGCAACACGGCGCTGCACTTGGCGGTGAGGCACGGCCGCGTGGAGTTGGTGAAGGAGATCCTGAGCCTGTGGCCGGAAGCTGCAGAGGTGGAGAATCTGAAGCAGGAGACACCATTCCACGAAGCTTGTAGGGAAGGAGAAGCCCAAATCTTGAGGGTTCTGCTGGATTCGCCATGGGGCAGTTCCGAACTCATCGGCCGTCAAAATCGGAACCTCTTGTTCTTGGCCTGCACCAAAAGTCACGTGGAGGTTGTCGATATCCTTCTGAATCATCGCCGGATCCACCACTCCAGCTTCGACCGTGTGGCTGGTTTTCTTGAGGCTACTTCTCGAGGACACCTCGGTAATAAATTTATTTTTCATTTAAACCTATTTCAATGAACTGTATTCATCTTATTTACTAATTCTTCTTTAACACAGAATTAATATAATTCTCATATCGTTTCAAACTCATGGGGATGTGTACGTGTTTTAGTCTCTTTTGTTGTAAACGGCAAAGCAAATTTAGTTGAATTAATGGTGATGCACATGGTTGGGTGCAGGCGTGGTTCAGCAGATATTACAAAAGTTCCCAAAAGCGGCCAGAAAGGTGGACGAGAATGGCTTTTCTGGTCTGCACAATGCTTGTTTAAGCGGCCACGTGGACGTAGTGGAGTATCTGTTGGGTCGTGATCCTTTTATGGCTCGCCAATTCACATACTCTGGCTATACGCCCTTGCACTTGGCTGCCATGAACGGCAAAACCCAGATTATTAAAGTATTTTTGCAGCGCAGTCGTTTGTCGTTTTTCGATCATACGAAACAGGGAGTTCCAATTCTTCATCTCACCATTCGCCACAACCAATTCAAAACTTTTCTCCACTGCGCTCAAAGTTCCGAGAAGGAAGGATCACTCATCAATTCTGTTGACCTCGATGGTAATACTATTTTACATGTTGCAGCAGAGTCTGGGCGAGTAAAGGTTACAAAAATCCTCACTTTTTCTACTTGCTTTTTAGTCATGGACTAGTAGCATGAATTAATGATACATGTTAACAAATTTTAACGATTATCTTACGAAACGACCTTATTGTTTCTTTTCCTTTTAGTAAATCAGGAGAGCCAAATATCTAAATGATTAGATCAACTCGTACAATTTCTAATATGTTTCTGACGTGATTTGTCTTTCTGAATAAAATGCTGCAGTTTGTAAAATTCTTGATCAATGAAATGAGAATGATGATAAATCGTCAGAATTCAGAAGGGCTGACACCCCTTGACATGCTAGACAACCTTGCTGCTAGTGACACTAAGAAGTTCAAAATTCTTGAAGATATGTTAAGAAACGCTGGCGGAAAGAGAAAAATAGAACTTACGAATTCGACTATTCCAACTAGCAACAAAGGAGAATTGGTTCGGGAATGGGTTCATTCTTTGGATCCAAATTTGTTGGAGGAGGATGGTTTGCAAAAGATTGACTTAGATCGTGACGAGAAGGAAGATGAAGAGATTGAGCATGAAAATTTGGGGAGCAATAATGTTATCCATGCTCATGATGAACAAGTTGATCAAGCAGAGAAAAAATATGGGTATGTGCTTCCGAACAACTTGGACAAGCAAAAGCATCTGAGTCAAAAGCGACGAAAAGTGCTAGTAAGCAAAATGGATGGGTATCGTTCTCAACGAGAAAAGCAACACAACATGTATAAGGAGACATTGCAAAATGCAAGAAACACGATTACTTTAGTTGCAACTTTGATTGCTACAATTACGTTTTCTGTGGGCATAAACCCCCCGGGCGGGATTCACCAAGACGGTCCACTTATTGGGAAAGCAGTATTCGCCAAAACGAAAGGCTACAAGGTATTCATAATAAGCAACAGCATTGCATTGACAACATCTCTATCCATCATGATCGTTTTAGTGAGCATCATCCCTTTCAGAAGAAAATTACTGCTACGACTTCTTAAGATTACTCATAAAGTGTTGTGGGTGTCTCTAGCGTTCATGGCGATGGCTTTCACATCGGCCACATGGCTCACCTTGCCACAAGATTACAAAACAAATTGGCTTCCAAATGTGATATTGGCGGTAGTGGGAGGAACTATGGGAACATTTTTCATTTATTTGGGAGTAGAGTTGGTAAAGCATTGGATGAGAAAGCTCAAGTGGAGAAGAGAGAGGGTCGAGAAGCCAACTATTTCGGCCAGCAATAATTTCGACGGCAATTCCGACCATCAATCCACAGATGATCAATCATCTAATAAAGCTAAATCAGACATAGAACAACGTGATCTAAGAAAGCTCTATTCATTCTCAACTAATTCCGATGTTGCTAGCTCTAGAGGTCGAGGTGGTCACGTATACTAAATACATGTTTGTGAGTGATTTTATCTAGAGTGCTTTAATTTTGAATAGTTTTGTAAAATATGTTTAATAAAAAGTTATTTTATTATTTAGTTATAATTTTAATGATTAATGTTTGATTTGGAAAGTGATTTTAGAATAATCAAGTTATTAGAAACTATCTCCCAAATAATGGTTTCTTTTCTGGAGTGATTATGGGCCAAAATCACTTTAGAGAATGCACTAGGAACCAAGACTAAAAATTTCCACGAAGATGGGAGTGCATGTCCAACTCGTGTACCATCTGGTTGTCATCCCCAATTTATATAGATTTTTTTCTTCCATAATGCTGCATCTCACTTTAGAGAATGCAGGGGTTCGAACACAGGATCTTCCGTTCTGATACCATGTTAAGGATAAATAAATCATCATTTAACCCAAAAACTTAAACTGATGGATTAGATAAATTTAATTCATATATCTAACACATGTGGAGGTAGCGAGGTTTCTTTTGAACTCACCCCATTCACCTACTCTTATATGGATTACATCCCAAAATCAATTGGTAATAAAAGGATTAGCTCAGTTATATTATAAATTATTGTTAGGTTCACTATCGATGCGAGATCCTTGAGCAAAGCAATTGAGAGGTGAGCTCTGAACTGGGGGATTTTAATTCGATTCTTATAAATGAGTTGTAATGCTGCCGCTTGTAGAATTCTTTATAAACAAAGTAAATATGCCGATAAATTCAGAGAACAAGGGAGGGCTGATGAATTCTTCTCCCAACAAATCTCACTATATGTCGTTGCCGCCAACTCCCCCTCCTCACGTCTTTGCTCACTGTTGCTAAGGCGGGGGATGGGATAAGGAACGACTCCAAAGAAAGTTATTTCGGGATTCAAGAAATGAGAAGAGGGACACCATTTGCCACTCAAATCGCAGCAGAAAATGCTATTCGAGCAATAATGGAGCAGGATATGCAACGAGCGGAAGTCGTCTGAACATAGTTCCAGGTTTAGAATGCTTAGTAAAGATATCCAAGTTTTGGAAAGGAAAGATCACACGATAACAGTAACTTGATTTTTCCACTTTAATTTAGACATGGGCCTAACTCCTAAGAGTGGTCTTGGCAAGATCGGCTGGCAAAAATAATGAGGACATTCATTTGTCAACTAACGCACGGTGCTGATAAGGAGTGTTATGGATGTAGGCCACCAATTTTTTAGGGCCGAAACCAAGGGATACTAACTAACAGTTGAGTCGAAGAGGAAATAGTTGTCCATCATATGGCTCACCAACTTCACTTGCTTCTATGGGAGGCTTGCTCCGGGCAGGTTCAGATCAATCATTTGCTTCATTGGTTCCAACGGTGGCAGCTGCGGAATCAGCTATTGGGTTAGTCATTTTTGTTATTACTTTCCGAGTCCGAGCGACGGAATGTAAGTCAAAGCCTTGTTCCCAATCTGACTCTGGAATCAAAACCTTGATTATTACATGCATCTCGTTATTTTCTGAATAGTGAGTGCTGGCCTATTTTCAGTCCAAGTGTTACAAGTACTAAATTTCAACTTATAGAGTTTCTTTTCAGCCCTATCTCTATCCCGCCTATGCCTCAGAAAATCAGAAAAAAAAACAATCTAATAGCAATCGCGCGGCAAACAAATACAAAGGTAAAAGGCTTTATTATTGAGAAAGTCAAAGGACGTTATTTAGAAGCCATCGTGGGTTTCATTACTTTTCTTCCATTTCGTCCTCTCATAAGTACATTGCCTTGGGCATGCAATCAAAATCTCTAAAGACAGCTCGTTCGAAGATCTCAGCAGCGGGATTGAATACCTGGATCGAATCAGAGTTCACGTCGCCCGTCCTGAACAAATAGGAGGCGTGGGCCACAGGTCGCACATAAGCCACCAGGTCGCACGACAGAAGAACACCCAAGTGGATTTGCGGCAAACCGGAGCCTCCGAGGGTATGGCGGCTTGTGTTGTGCCATCATCAGCTCGACTAAGAGTTCCGAATCAAAAAAATAAACTGAACATCGACTTGATGATGCAAAGTCGACGACTAATCGGTTAACAGCTGATCGCTCTACCACTGAGCTACTGAGGAACACGGGAAATTAGGTCTCATAGAATTTAATTCCCATTCTCAACTCATGACCAATATGAGCTCGAGGTTTCCTGGAGAAGGGGAAGGGAGAAGCAGGGCTCGAAGAACGAGCCGAAAGTAAGCCGTACCACTCCTCGTGGAGTAGATCCTATATCCAACCAAGTCTTTGACCAAGGAACAGGAGAATTCCCACTACCTCTGGCAGGCCAGCCGAGCCAGTGTTGTTGCCCGCTGAGGGAAGGAAAGTTCAGTGGGTTTTCCTTCTAAGGATTCATCCTTCCCGAACGCTGCATACAACTCTCCGTTGTACTACGCTCTCCAAGTGTGCTTATTCCCCTTTCTTCCGTACCACAGGCGCTCAGCCCATACATCCTGAGTAGAGAGCTAACCTAGAATTGGATGCATTTGAACAAAAGAACGAACTCAACCGAACCGGAACCGATCAGGCTCGGTCAACCCGATCCACTCAAACCTAAGAGGGGAGACATGAGCATGAGTTAGGCTTTCACAACTATATTTTTGCTACTCTCAACAAAACTAATTGTTGATTTAAGCATCAACGTGTTGGGTTTAGCATCACACAGATGTGCAATTCTCTTTGTGTACAGGTGTTCGCAAGAGATATCAACGTCGAAGAACCGAAACCAAATTCTTGTTGATTTTGTGGTTTGCACAAGGCTTCTTTCAAGTGGCCAGGTTTCTTTTGAGTTTTCATTCTCAACTCAACTGTGGCTCACCTCATTCACAATTCTGGCATAATTACGTATTGATGGGTAACATTCCAAGATCAATTGGTAATGAAAGGATTAATCTGATTATATTATAAACTCTTTTCAGATCTATTATCTTTTTAATGTAGGATCCTTAACACGTCGGTGCATGTCGCTATCTCAATCTCTTGGTTGGAAGTATATGTCAATTACCATTAAGCTATGCTCGCTTTGACAAATAATTAATTGATAACTTTGGTATCATATGAGTAAATAATTAATAAAAATAATATTCTTCCACCTCTCCCTGCCATCTCAAAATAATCATCATTTTTGTCTTTTCATTTGCTTCTTCTTCTACTCCTTCATTTGCTTCTCCTGGATATTCTCTCATGTTCTTATTCATCCATCTGTCAGTATTAGTAAGTATATTATTGATTAGAGATAAGTATACAATATCAAAAAAGAAGTAATATAGAGAATACCCTATTACATTCTTCTCTTGGAGTAAAATATTTATATATATTTTATATATATATATTCGGCCTTTGCATGCTGTTCTATGTGCTAAATTTGCTGTTTTTCTTTTTTAGAGAATACCAAATTACATTCTTCTGTTAAAGTGTGCGTGTATACATATATATTTGGCCTTTTTGTTTGGCTACTTGTGCATAACTAAAAGTAGATGCTAAATTTTTTTTTTTTTTTTTTGCCATGATTGCAAATGCCACTAATAAATATAACCTTCTTCTAATTATTTTTTTTTATTTTCAAAATTATTTTATATACTTATCAGAGACACATATCAGAGGTATATTAGAGACTCGTAGCATCACAAATATATATCAAACGCTCATCAGAAGTATATCAATAACATACGTCAAACATATATCAGTGATGTATCAGCACTCACATATCATAAGTATATAAATAAGCTAGATCAAAGGTAAGCTAATAAGGAAGATCAACACATACCAATAACATGTATATCAATAACATACATTAGAAACTCGTATTAGAGGTATATGAGAGTCGCAAGCCTACCGAGGGCCTCTCCATGTTTTGGGCCTCTTCGTGTTGGATTGACAGTAAAGTTGACATTTTTTTATTATAGAGATAATCAAATGTCTAAAATTTTCTAATTTTAGACTTTTAGATTTATGTCGAATGATTTTATTTTAATTTCAATTTGCATTTACAATTATTTGGTTTTTTTGAAAGGTAAAAGATTTAATTTCATTAATACCATCTTAGATTCATATGAAAATAGAAATGAAAAAGATTTTTCCTTTTTCTTTTTGATGTGATGCATGGGAAACTGAACATTGGAACATTAGCATTATTATAGAAATTACGTGGTTGATTCTTGACTCATTCATGCCTCATTTCATTTCTTTTGACAGTTGACTCTCAGGTCAAGACGCGTAATCATTAAATGGAAGACAATAAGTATGAATTAATCAGATAATTAAAAAGTAGCTCTGGTCGTTCATCTTCTTCTCATGGATTCAAGGCTTCTCTGCGCAGTGAGATGGAACGACATGGAGAGTTTCAGGAATCTCGTCGGCAAAAACGCCGGAATTCTGAGGCAGAGATCGAAGCCGACGGGGAACACGGCGCTGCACGTGGCGGCGAGGCACGGGCACGTGGAGCTGGTGAAGGAGATTATAAGGGTGTGGCCGGAAAGTGCGGCGGCGGAGAATCTGAAGCTGGAGACTCCTTTTCATGAAGCTTGCCGGGAAGGACACGCCGGAATCTTGTTGCTGCTTCTGGAGACGGATCCATGGGCCAGTCTTAAACTGAACCATCAAAATCAGTCCTCGCTGTTCGTCGCCTGCAGTCGTGGCCACGCTGACGTCGTCAAGATCCTTTCCGGTCAGCAGTGGTTTCAGAATTTGGACGACGGCGACGGCGACGGAGTGGATCCGGCTTGCTTTTTTGAAGCTGCCTCAAGAGGACACCTAGGTCCGTCCGTCCTTATATTTCATTAGTTTCTTTTCAGAATCCAAATTTTGATTCTTTTTTTTTTCTTTTATTTAGTCTTTATTTTATTAAATTTCAACTAGGTTCTGATTTCTCAATTTTGATTTAAAACTCTCTCCCACTAATTAATTATACCATCATTAAACTTTTAAGAAAATAAGAGAGAGAAATTAAATACTTAGTTTGATTAAAAAATTGACAAATAACAGAAAGAAATGTAAAAATAGAAATTTTTTATTTTTAAATAATTAACTGTCAATTTGTGGTAAGTAATAGAAATAGATACTCACTGACCGGTGCATATTTAAATTAA